GTCAATTCAATAAGATGTTGGCTTAAATGCTGCGCTTCATAATACATATTTACTGAGAATGATATGCTTGCTATGTGCCAAGCACCGGGCTCAGTAGCTGACAGGCATCGTGTCACAGTAATTTTCACAACAATGCAGTATCATTTCTATCTTGATCCAACTTTCAGTTAGGAAAACAGAAGCTTAGTAACTTTCCAAGGTCTATATCAAATTTATAACATTATTTTGACTTTATAGAAAATCTACTTTGATGTAGGTTTTTTAATAAAAGCAAAAAGATTACTTCAAATGTCACATAATTTGGGTTAGGTTTGAGATAAAGTGATTTAATAAATTTAATATTTGTAATGCTGGAACTTTTGCTCTACAAAGTCTACTCTTGAATTTTTAAAAATAAGGCCTACTTTTTCACAGCTTATATATTCTAAAGAAATATTACTATTTCTTACTGGAGTGATATAACCTCACTCTAAAGAAATCCTAATAATAATAAAGTATTAGTATGGAAAGGCCATTTTTTAAAATAATGTTTCTGAAAATGATGCTACTTCTACTTGAAACTCAACATACACTAAACCTGTCCAGAAAACAGGCCGATCTTTCAGATAAACAGGTCCATGCCAGAAACCTCCGTCTCCTAGGCTACATGTCTGTTTTCTTAGCCTATTCATTCTTGTATAAACTCCAATTTTTATTTACATGTGTGGAAAATTAAATATGCTTAATTAATGGCTTCTGAGTAAATTTGAAAAAAAATCATCCCACTAAAGCTTAAGCCACATCCTTATCAAAACTAGGATTTTATATAAATATCAAAGCAGCAAAGTAAACATAAAGAATAGAAAATGTATCTAAGCTTCTTTATGAAAATAAACTATTCCATTAATAAGTAAAATTATAACAGAGGCCTAAAATTTAGTAGATTTGGAAAATTACAAGTGCATGGGCAGTAGGAAAGCTGGGGGTATTCTAAGCTCATCAGTCAGTAATAACTTCAGTGAGCAGCAGAACAATGGCCGCCTCTGATAGTGCCCTGCATTCCTGATGTAGGCTTTTCTGCTTCAAACCATTTATTTACAATCTGAGAATAGACAGCTGGTAAGAAATGATGTGGCAAGAGAGCAAGTGTGGCCTTGCTAACACAAGCACCTTATGTAAATTCTCCTCCACTGGAGCGTCTGCCCCTGGTGGTCAGCATGCACCATAGCGACCGGTCATTCTGCTGTTCAGTCGATTTGCATATTAGGGTTTTATTACATAGGATTATATCTGGAGAATACTATGGTTTTAAAAATTGTTACTTAAAAAATAAAATATTTCTAAGTGTACTCCCATAATACCTAATTTCATTATTCATGACTAGAGGCCCGGTGCATGACATTCATGCACTGGGGAGGGAGGATGGAGGGTGGTTCCTCAGCCAGGCGTGTGCCCTCTTGCAGTCCGGTACCCCTCAGGGGATGTCCGCCTGCCGGCTTAGGGGAGCGGGCCTTAGCGCTGCCATGGAGGCAGGAGAGGCTCCCGCCACCACTGCTGGGCTCGCCATCTGTGAGCCTGGCTTTTGGCTGAGTGGCGTTCCCCCTGTTGAGTGTCTACCCCATGGTGGTCAGTGCGTCATAGCGACCGGTCATTCCACCATTTGGTCAATGTGCATATTAGGATTTTATTATATAGGATTAGAAAATACTTATAATACTGGGAAGTTTTGTAGAAATTAGGATAACTATATCTTGAAGTGTACTTAACTGGAAATGTAGGTCCACATTAGGACAAAAGCTACCTCAATAGGAGTTTCTGACATTATTACTGCCTTAAAGTGATGCCACTACTACTCCAAATTAAATAAGGTGGGCCCTTGCTGGTTTGGCTCAGTGTACACAGTGTGGACCTGCGGACTGAAGGGTTCCGAGTTTGATTCCAGCCAAGGGCACGGACCTCAGTTGCAGGCTCCTCCCCGTCTCGGGTGGTCAGGCGTGTGTAGGAGGCAACCAATCAATGTGTTTCTCTCACATCAATAGTTCTCTCTGTCTTTCCCTCTCTCTAAAAATCAATGGAAAAATATCCTTGGGTGAGGATAAAAAAAAAAAAAGGTGGAATTTTTAAATCCCAAGTTTTTGGACCTAGGTTGTAACTGTCTGCTGCCTTTTCTTTGGTGGTATTTTCATATGACACAATGAGTTCAAGTAAACAACTCAAACGGGGAAATCTGAAGAAAAGTTTTCTACATAGATAAGGTAGAGTCAAAGTACTTCTCAGGTATTCCTTAAAGTTAACACCACCCACCTTTTACTTTATTAACCTATTATTTCTTCCCTTTTGGGGATAAAGATGAACCCAAAACCCAACTTTGGTCCTCCCTGGGTTCCTAAAGAAGGAAGATTATAAAGTAAAAGAAAATAAAAGACTTAAGGAAAATGAAGCAGAGAAGTTGAGTGCCTAGAATTAGTGACCTTTTTGGGGGGTTCAGGTTTACCTTCTTGGACTCTGTTAAAATAAACTATACCGATCTACTGGCATCCTCCTGTGTTCTGTTATCTATGTATCCTGACTTCTTTCTATGCAACTGAATGAAATGGTTTTCCCAGCCATTTCCCCCTGGATCATGTCATGCATTTCTTTCACATTCCTAGAAAACCCTGGTCTGCTAGGACAAGCTGAGATCTCCATCCCCTTTGCCTCAAGAATTTACAATACATATTTCCAAGTTAAAAATGAATGCTATCTGGGCCCAACAGTCTGTCCTAGAGTACAAACTTTAAAATACTCAGTATCTTACATTTAAAACAGGAACAACTACCAGGTTGTCAGGCGAAGACTGGAAAACATGTTATTTCCATGGCCTAGAGAAGTTGAGATGAGACAACTATCCAAAAAGTAATTTCACTTTTAACAAAAACCCGCAGGTAAGTGTTCTCTTGGAGGCTTATGAGACTGAAGCCACAATATATTCATCAAGTATGCACCAAAGTATGAAAAATGAATAACATTTACATGAACTACTTAGATAAAATATGGTGTATGTTAAGAAAGGAACTAAATTTGGAAGAGGAAACATAGATAATAAAAAATGAAAAAATTAATTAATGACTGACCAGAGGTAAATTCTAAAGGAGAAATGCAAATTATTTTGTTTAGACATGAGTTATATGGAATCCACTTTAGGATTTTACTAAACAAAACGAAAAATATGCACCTTTTACATCAGTGTTTCTCATTAATTATGTTTGATTACCAATTTCAGAAATAATCGATTTTGGCTAGCATGGATGTTGTAACTCTGAATAACCATCTTTGTAGAAGCCACAGAACTTTCTACCCTCTTATTTGGGACTCCAAATCTTTTAGGGGAAGTAGCAGAGTTAAAGTATGAACTGCATTCTTAGCTATAAAAGTCTTATAATGTTATAGGTAGACCTTTTGTTAAGAATCCATTTATCTGTAGTAGTTATACTACTAAAAGCATGCACTCACCATGTGCTAAATGAATTACTTTAGTCGATCATGACAATCTTATAATTATTATTATCATTCCCAAGTTACACATGGGAAAACTAAGGGAAGTGAGGTTATATTTACTTACTAACATAATTGGCAGCAGGCAGAGCCAGGATTCACACATAGCTCGGCTTTCACAGCTTGGACCCTCAAACCTCTAAGCCAGTGGTTCTCAACCTTGGCTGCACATTAGAATCACCTGGGAATCTTTTTAAAATGCTGATTTCTGGGCCTCATCCTCCAGACATTCTGTTTCTTTGTTATGGGGTGGGGCCACAACATTAGTAACAAAGAAACAGAATTTCCGGAGGATGAGGCCCAGAAATCAGGATTTTAAAAAGATTCCCAGGTGATTCTAATGTGCAGCCAAGGTTGAGAACCACTGCTCTAAGCCATACCAGCAAATCAAATTGTAGACAAGGCTAATCATACCTAGCCTGAGTTGCATCTAGGAGTTTTGTTAATTAAACAATGAAAACAGGGGAAAAGCATTAGGAGTCTTAAATGACCAGTGTTTTGCAATTCAGTAGCCGACACATAGCTGGCACTTAAGCAGATTGCAGGGACCCTCGGAGATCCCTTAGTGTAGTGTACTTCATTCCATTTAAGGAGGAACAGAGCCCAGTGATGTTGAAAACTTTACCAAATCATTCAGTTTGTTAGAACCTATCTCCCTTCACATTTCTATGCAGTGTTTTTTCCACTGTAATGTATGCAGTAATCAGCTGGTTACAAGAATTTCTGCATTTCCAAAAACAATTTGAACACTAGAACGCTGGAGCTGGAACTGGAACTCTGTTGAAGAGACTATATCTTGAAATAAGTTAAAATGCAACTTAGAAATCTTTTAGTTGCATATGATGTTACTTTAAAATATTCCAACCAGGGTGATTTTTCAACCAAAATCATCCTATAAGGGAGATTATTTAAAAATTTTAATTTGATAGATCAGTGGAATAGAATAGAGAGTCCAGAAATTAGCCCGAACCAATATGCTCAATTAATATTTGACAAAGGAGGCAAGAACATACAATGGAGCCAAGATAGTCTCTTCAATAAATGGTGTTGGGAAAATTGGACAGATATATGCAAGAAAATGAAACTAGACCACCAACTTACACCATACACAAGAATAAACTCAAAATGGATAAAGGACTTAAATGTACGACAGGAAACCATAAAAATTCTAGAAGAATCCAAAGGCAACAAAATCTCAGACATATGCCAAAGCAATTTCTTCACTGATACAGCTCCTAGGGCAGTTGAAACTAAAGAGAAAATGAACAAATGGGACTACATCAAAATAAAAAGCTTCTGCACAGCAAAAGAAACCATCAACAAAACAACAAGAAAACCCACTGCATGGGAAAACATATTTGCCAACGTCATATCTGATAAGGGCCTAATCCTTTATTAATAGCCAGATAATTAGTATAATAATTAGCTACTTAATTATATTGCAGAACTCTAAAATAATTAAATAATCGGGAGGGAAGCAATTTTACCTTACTAAATTTTGCTGCATATTTTCGACCTTCATTAAAATTTGGACCCCAGTCTGAGAGCGAATGTAGGCTTTCAATCTGAAATAAAAATACCACATTAAAAAAGCAATTTTTAATATATTTCAAGCTAGTGTCATAGAAGAGCATTTATGAATAGCTAACAATTTTTAAAATTTATCTATACAAGCATAGAAAAAAGGTTAAATGCATTTTCTAACCAAGGATCTGAATTTTTGAAAGGTACCTTTCTCACCCTGGCTGGTGTTGCTCAGTAGTTAGAGTCAGCCCACGCACCAAAGGGTTGTGGGTCCGATTCCTGGTCAGGAACACATTACCTGGATTGCAGGTTTGAATCCCAGTTCTAGTTGGGGTGCAGTGCATATGGAAGTCAACCAATCGAATTATTATTTCTCTCTCTCTCTCTCCCTCTCCCCTCTCCTGCCCCGCCCCCCACCTTCCACTCTCTCTGAAAAAAAAAAAAAAAAAAAAAAATGGAAAAAAAATCCTGGGGGGAGGATTAAAAAAAAAAAAAAAATCATGAATAACTGCAAGCATATTTTGTTGACATGATTGGTTCTTTTTGCTAACTCCTGCTGAATTATTTTTAGCCTCAGAAATTATTCCTTGTTGTTGTTGTTAATCCTGACTGAGGATATTTTTTCCATTGATGTTTTGAAAACATATTTTTATTGATTTCAGAGATTCTGTATAATTAAAGAACTTAAATTTAAAATAACTATTTCAGTAATTAATCTTGCTATTTAACTTCTTTAATGTATGCAATTAAGTGGCAAGTATTTTGTGTTATTACCAGATATATGAACAATAATAACAACTGGATTCTCAGTAATTAGAATGAAACAATTATTATACCTGTCCCAAGACACTGTTTGATATGTGACATGGATCTGATTCAGTCTTGGGCTCTACCTTTTATCAGAAGTACATGCTGAGATTTAACTAGAACTGAATCAGACATTTCAGAATCCACTCAGTATAAATTTTAAACACCAAGTTACTGGAGCCAAACCAAGCATTCATATCCCAAGCAGGTACCATCTGGTGAAAAGAAAGTCAACTGGGTTCCTGCCTAGGAACACTAATAACAAGCATTCTAATAATAGTTCCCTTTTTAAAGCACTGCTTAATATGGGCTAAGCCTTGTAGTAGGAACTTATATATGCTATTTTTTAAGCTTCGTAAGAATCCTATCTAGTATATTATCATCAATCTCATATTAATAATGGAAAAAATTAAGGCCCAGAAGTGAAGTAACTTACCCCTGATCACATAGCTTATAAGGAACTGAGCTAGTTATTCTAACCAGACCTTCATTACTGATTCTTTCCACTATGCTATGTTAATTATTTTTGTCCATGTTGTATTTTTGGACAGGAGACAGAGTATATCTTACTTAGTTTTATGAAGAGTTGGCTGAAACAGGATTTCCTGCCTGTAATAGTTACTTGGAAACTCCTAATTTTCAGTTTTGGGTTCAACCTGAAAGGCATTTTGGTTTAAGGGTTAAGAGTGTAGACACTGACTCCAGACTGCCTGGGTTTGAATCCCAGTTTCCCTGATTAGCTACATGAAGTCACTTAACCTCTTTATGGCTCAATTTTCCCTTCTGTGAAATGGCTATAATACTAGTAATCTACCTTAATGGGTTATTGTGAGGATTAAATGAATTAATACATTTATCATTATCTGCTTCAAAGAGTCTGGAACACAGTACAGAGTAAGTACAGACTACTGTTATAACTATCCAAAAGCAGCATCTCTGACTGACAAATCCTTGAGTAAACACCAAGGAAATGGAGCAGAAAGTAAATGGCACTGACATATCACATTCTAATAAAGTCATGACTTCCCATATTAAATATGCACATAACAAATATCTCGACATTTTAAATAATTCAGAAAGTGAAAAGATTTTAAAAACATACCTTTGACGAATTACAGGATCAGACTTTTCTGGGTCAATGTAAGTTGCTAAGATTTCATTAATAGTTTTATCGTCGGGTACTCTTTGCAACAAAGAAAACAAAAACAAACTTATTATTTATAATTTTCTACTAAAGGTGTTAACTTAGAATTACTAAATCTTATAGTGTTTTTGTTTAAGTAATTGAACACAGACCTTTTATTTTACTCTTGGCAAAATATAATGGCTTGTTAAGCATAAATTACTTAGAAAAATAGCTTTAAAAGATTTCTTGGACACACATAACAAAGTCTTAAAAAACATTATTTTGAGAGGATCCCTATAAATTAATCACAAAAATATGAAGCCTCTTTTAACACGCACCTATGCTCAAAGATGAAAAGGAAGAAGTCAGGATGAAATACATTTGAAAGTTGTAGAAATAAAAAACCTGAAAAAAGGTTTCAGATGATGCTAATTTCAGTGCATGTTCAAGTTTATTCATAATAAATCATAAGACCAGGTTAAAAATTGGATACTGCTTTCTCTGGAAACAAAGCATTTTAGGTTTCCCGACTTTTCTATATGTATTGTTCTAACTATAAAGCTGTAGAAACAAAACTAAGACAATGTTTTGAACTAGTAACTAAAAGTTGCAAGGCAACATTTAAAATGTAAAATGCGTAAAATGGCAAATATGTAACTTTTCTCAATCATTTACACATATTCTTATATACTATTTTGCTAAATAGCCCTATCTGAAAAATTTAAGTCTTTTCACTGTCTCTCATTTGGTATGCACCTTCAAATAAAGTTTTTCAACTAAAATCTATATGACAATGACAAGAAGGGGCACTATCTACTATATTTAGATATATGCTAAATATATTAATTAAAAAGCAACTTTAAAATTTTCATAACTCAAGGAATCAAATTGTATACAACCATTAAAACTTTTAAATGATACTTGAAAATGTTCACAATATGGAAAAAGGATAAAAACTACTTATGTAACTTAATTCCAATTATGAGTATATGTATGTACATTTCTAAAATAATGTATTTGCTGCAGACACACATTACTAATAGTAGTAATCCCTGCTGATGTTTGCATTTCATTGTATCAATACACCACAACTTAGTTATCCACTCTACCACTAACACACATTTATTGACATCACATTTAAGTTAACAAGTTCTTAACAGACAGTGGTGATACTATACCTTTTTTCTATGTACACAGCTTGACTCTGAGGAAACTGGAGCTTCACATGCCAACAAAACTGTTGTTTTCTAAGAGAGAAAATAATCACGTGAGGCTCAAGATAGTCAATAAAAGTATGAACACAAATCAAACTTCCTAAATTTTTGTTTTCAGAGAATAATTCTAAAAGCATTCTTAGATTTTAACATGTATTTTCTACTAAGAATTATTACTCTTTTCTAGGATTCTTAGAGGCTATGTTTTTCAAGCAATATACTTGGAAGAGTTTTTAAGGAGAAAAAAAAATGAAGTGAAACAGTTCTGAATTCCAAAGACTTCACATTCCCGAATTAGAAGGCAATTTCTCATAAATCAGGGGCATTTGAGATCAGTGTGCTACTACTTAAAGTTTACAAATAAAATTTCCTCATGGCTAAATACAATGAGCTGATGTCTCTGCCTGACTAGTCTGGAAATTAGGTGAATGAAGTATTGTCTGGTTGAGACCAGCTGGCCGCAGATACACTTATGAGCCATGAGTATGTGCATTCAGTAGCAAAACAGCAGACAAGTCGGTTGCTAAGCAGAATGCACTCTAGGCTAGAGTCCCTTTGCTTTCAAGTCTAAACTTTGATACAGGATCGACAGTAATAAATAAATGTCTGATTTTAGAAAAATGACCATATGTTCTATTGAACATATCTAAATTTGGTGACACTAGACACCATTCCTTTAAAAAAATATTTAATGCTGCTCAAAACATGATGGCTTTACACATTTTTTTCCTTGCTTAGAAGAAATTTCTAACAACCCACTTGCCAGTTAATGGCCGGCAGCATGCCAAAGCAATGGTCAGCATCTTCTACAAATCTATGCCTTAGCCACATGGCCCCCAAATCTAAAATAATTTTCGTTTAATATAATTCAGGAGAGTATCTCCAAAAATTTATATGATTTAGGTCAGGGGTAGGGAACCTTTTTTCTGCCAAGGGCCATTTGGATATTTATAACATCATTCATAGGCCATACAAAATTATCAACTTAAAAATGAGCCTGCTATAATTGGTTAAACATTTAATAAACTCACCCCTAATGCTTTGCCAAGGCCAGACCGAATGATTTTGTAGGCCTTATATAGCCCGCAGGCTGTAAGTTCCCCACCCCTGATTAGTCAAACTTTTTCAAAAGACAATGACTATAAAATCGAGTAAAAATCCTTCTACTAGGGTAATTTATCACAGATCTGTTTATGGAAATTTTCTTTAATAAAGGGACAGATTTTGGCACTAGCTAGAAAAAAATATGCTTGATTATGCTTATGTTGATAGTGCCATTTATAAGAAACAATCATTTTAATATTGTTTTGATAGAACAAAGTTGTACAGCACCCTTTACTAATTTAAAGGCCAGATGTCTAATATCTCAGAGGGGAAAAAAAAACCTATAAATTCTGAACGCAGATACAGCAGTTACTGGTTTCAAATAAATAATTCTTCCCAAAGAAAATATCTTGCAATGTTTGTTACCTGTGAAACTGGCATAGTACAATATCACCATCAAGACATTGAGAGTTACCACATTTCTCTCATCATAAGAAATAAACTGGTATTTTAATCTTAATGCATAAGAGTTTCCTTCTAAACATATTTTTTTTTCCATGTTAAGTTACAGGGGGGAAAATTATGAACTTGTCATCTTATGGAATTGTAAATCATAATCACCCCAAGTATTGCTTGCTTAATTTCAAGAACCATTTACCTTTCTTAACATTCAGTAGACTCTAAATACCTTCAGAAAGTACTCAACATTCCAAAAACAAGAGAACCCCTGGAAATAATTTTGTTTGCTGCAGTTAACTACTTGTGGTTACAAGGAAGTCAGTCATTACTGTGTAATTATATCTACACTAGAGGCCCGGTGCATGAATTTGTGCATGGGTGGCGTCCCTCAGCCTGGCCAGCCATCAGGGCCAATTGGAGCCATCTGGCCCAGTCCTGATTGGGGCCGGCCGTGGGGAGGTTGGCTGTGGGAGCGCACTGACCACCAGGGGGCAGCTCCTGCATTGAACTTCTGCCCCTTGGTGGTCAGTGTGCGTCATGGCGACCGGTCATAATGGTCACTTAAGCTTTTATATATATAAATATATAGATTAGAGGCCCGGTGCACAAAATTAGTTTACGGGGAGGGGGGGAGGGTCCTTCAGCCCCGCCTGCACCCTCTCCAATCCAGGATCCCTCTCGCAATCTGGGGCCGCTGGCTCCTAACCGCTCGCCTGCCTGCCTGATCAACCCTAACCGCCTCTGCCTGCCGGCCTGATCGCCCCCTAACTACCTCTGCCTGTAGGCCTGACCACCCCCTAACTGCCTCTGCCTGTCCTCCTGGATGCCCCTAACTGCCATCCCCTGCTGGCCTGGTCGACCCTAACTGCCTCTGCCTTGGCCTCCGCCACCGTGGCTTTGTCTGGAAGGACGTCCGATCTAATTAGCATATTACCCTTAGATTGCTAAATTATCTATACTAATAAAAGGGTAATATGCTAATTAGACCAGACAAGGCAGAGGCGGTTAGGGGCAATCAGGCGGGTAGGCAGAGGCAGTTAGGGGTGATCAGGCAGGCAGGCAGGTGAGTGGTTAGGAGCCAGTGGTCCCAGATTGTGAGAGGGATGTCCAAGGGGTCCCGGATTGGAGAGGGTGTAGACCGGGCTGAGGGACCCTCCCTCCCTCCCCGTGCATGAATTTCGTGTACCAGGTCTCTAGTGACTATTATTAAAAAATACCCAATTTACTCATACTCAAATTTAACCAATTTGCCATATTTTCTTCTTCTAAGAAATAAGAGGTTATTGATATGGCTAACGATCCTTTGCACTGTTCCTTAATTCAATTTCCTTCTTATCATCAGAGGTAACTATCTTGAGATTGGGTGTGTATTCTTGCCATATTTGGTTTTATATTATATCTATCTGTAAACAGTATAATGTTTTGTGTGACATTAACATTTATTTTAATGATTTCATACACTAAATATCCCATGCCTTGTTTTCAGTTATATTATGGATTTAGAGGTTTATTTATGAAAAATATACATTAGTTCATTATTTTTAACTGTTTGCAAAGTATCCCATTGTGTGAAGAATGTCAAATCTATTTATTCATTCTCTACTGATAGACATTATGACTACTTCCAATTTTTACCACTTGTTCTTTCATATTAAATCATAGTAAAGAAAAAATAAAAGAATATCCCCAGGGATCAGGCTATCATTTACCTCAACTGATATACAGAACTAAATGTTAATTTTTTTAGCCTATAGTAGTAGTATAAGAGGCATTTAAGAACAGTAATTCAGAATCCAGTGTGTGTGTATGTGTGTGTTTTGGGGGGGCAGTAATTCAGAGTAAAAAGATTTAAGTAAAGGAATGGGCAAAGAGAGGTTAAAGAGTGTTATATAGGAATTCCTAAAATGAGCAAGTTAATTATCTCTAAACTAGTTTCCAATTCTTTAGTGTTCCTGAAATTGATGTAATCTGACATGGCCAATCAAATCTATTCCTAAGTCTCAAAGAATTAAAAGTTTATTTTCCATAGTGCATTATTATATACTACTAGAAGCCCAGCACGCGAAATCGTGTGGCCCCGCTCACCCATGCTGGTCTTTGGTCGTTACAGCATTAGGGCCACTGGGTTTTTCTAATATAGATATGTAAAAAATACACATAACCAAAATCCCAAACTGTGAATAATGTCTTCTAAAAGAAAATACTTTGTAAAAAAAATTAAGGTTAATGCTTCAGTAAGTATCTTTGGGCATATGTAAAATTGTTTTCTATATTTTGGATTATTTTCTAAGGACAGATTCCAAAAAGCAGAATCATTAGGATAGAACAGGGTTTTTTTAACCTCGGCAGTGCTGACATTTTGGTCCAGATAATTCTTCTTGTGGAGGTGGGCAGTAGACACGATGTTTAGCAGCATCCCACCCAGGTCTCTACCCATGAGATGACACTGTCAATACCCACTCTCCCAGCTGTGACAAATAAAAATGCTCCCAAATATTTCAAATGTCCACTGGGAGGCAAAATCATCACTGTTTGAGGACCACAAGACAGAAGTTTAAACATTTACTATTACTCCTAATGCATTAGGACTATTCTTTTCTAAATTTGGCAAAATGCCTGCCACTATAATAATGTCATTGTGTCCTTGCAATATTTACCAATATTCTCAATAATAAAAATACTGAAGGGGAGAGGTGAAAAAAGTGAAGGAATTAAGGAAAAAACACCACAAAAAACCTCAAACCTCATAGACAACATTATGGTCATTACAACAGGGAAATGGGTGAAGGAGGCAGGATTGGATAAAGGGGAATAAATAGTGATGGAAAGAGACATGACTTGGGTTGGTGAACACAATACCGATGATGCATTATAGAATTATAAATTATATAGGTTTAATTGTAATATAATTTAAACCTATATAATTTTATTAACTAATGTAATCCCAATCAATTAAAAAATAATACTGTACTCCAAGGCATATGTTTAGAGTTTGATAGTTACTGGTGGCCATTCTTAAACCTAATGTTGCCTTCTGGACAACCTGACAAAGTAACAGAAATACTGAGTCCCATGAAACTGAAGTAATCATTCATGTATAGCAAGCTTTTTCTCTTCCTCCTCAAATATCAAAACACACACACACACACACACACACACACACACACACACACACACATCATGCATTCTCAATGGGGATAGCAAACTGGTTCTTGGGAGGGTAAAAATAATCCTAGATATTATAATGGTTTGTGGCCTCCCAAAAGGCCACTGTATATTAACAGATACACAGTATATTTGTGGTAACAAAATACCATGCAGGGCAATAGAGGGTAAATATCTGAAAAGGCCCTTTGGGAGGCAATAATGAAAAAAAAAAAAAGTTGAGAAACACTTAGATGATACATGTATTATATGAGGAAAATAAATATTATTTATATGTACTTGGTTTTGGTGAGTTAATACAGGACACTTATTTAACAACTCTTGCTTACTAGAAACTGTTAAGGATCATTCAATTCCATAGTTTC